TAGAATGCCAATTTACTAGAAGAAAGTATTCTTGTGTTGAGGGAGTACTTGAGTGGAGGCCCAATGTCCTTCTGCTACCTTAATACTAAATCTAAGGGTAGAGTATTCTTGGGTTTGTGTTGTTTTCCTTCAAGTTTTGGAGTATGTTATTCTACTCTCTCCTCTTCTTCACAGTTTCTGCTGATAGGTCTGAGCATATTCTTATTTGGGAAACTTTATATGTGGTTGCTTGATTTTCTCTAGCTGCTCTCATGATTTTCTTCTTTTCCTCAAAGTTGGATAGTTTATAATGTGCCTTGGTGTGACTTCTTCTTGTGATTCAGTCTAGCTGGTGTTCTTTCAGTCTCCTGAATGGTTGCCTGGTTTTCATTAATTAAACTGGGGAAGTTTTCCTCCAAGAATTCTCTCACTGTTGTTGCAGATGACTTCTTTGTTGTGTCTTCCTCCGTTATGCCAATAATTCTAATGTTGTTCTGCTTCATAGCATCAAGCATAGCTCTTAGGTTTTCTTCAGCTTCTCTGATGATCTTACTAGATTTTTGTTCACGTTTGTTAAAGTCTGCTTGGCTGTCCTCCAAGTCACTGATGTGGTTCTTTGCTTCCTCCAGTCGATTCTCGAGGTCTGTGTTTCTGCTACTGGTTTTTGTTACCTCCTCCCTAAGCTCCTGTATTTCCCTTTGTTGTATGGCCTTTATCTCTATCATTTCATCCTTTTTCTGTATTGTTTCCCTAATATCCTGTATGACTTCAAGCAGCATTCTGAAAATTTCTTTCTGTCGCAGCTCAATATCTGCTTCTTCTATGTACAGTGAACCCTCGTTTATCTTGGTTAAACGGTTCTAGACCCTACCGTGATAAATGAAATACCGCGAAGTAGGATTCCTTATTTGTAAATCAAATATTTTCGTAGTTAGAGCATAGAGGACATGAAAAAATACCATTACACTTGTATTACCCAATTTATTAAACGAAAAAGGGAAAATACAGTAGAGCATTTTGGACGTTACAATTATCATTTATTATTTATTATATCATTTATTATTTATTATATTATTTATGGCATCAAGCGTGTACAGTATGAGCCAATCAGTGGCTGTAATGACAGAGCATGCGCTGTTACGCAAAAACCGCGATAGAGTGAACCCGCGGAAGTCGAAGCGCGAAGTGGCGAGGGTTCACTGTATGTTGTTATGTTCGGGGCATTTTCTGCCATTGCGTTTTGTTTTTCCTGTTTTTTCGTTGAGGTCATTGGGGCTTATGGCTGTTTGAATTGCATTGTTTTAGAGAGCCAGGTGCCATTTTCCAGGGAGTCCAAGAGCATTGACTCTGTGGGAGACTTGTAGGAATGCTTCTTCGAATTGCCTACAGCTAATCTTACCTTGGGATTTACTTACCACTTTATCTTCCTGTGGCTTCCTTATCAGGGGAGTGCCCCAGAAGGCTGATGTGTTGCCTGCTTTGGTGTTGTGGAGGTTGGGCAGAGGTTGCTGCAACAGCTTGGAATGTTTATGAGTGTTGGCTGAGCTGCCTTATGCTCCTAGGTACACAGGCAGGAATTCCCCGGTGAGAAGTTGGGCAGAGTATCCCCTGGAGGAAAAGCAGGGCTTTCCCTAGCCTCAGGCTAGCTACACAGGGTGGAGCTCACCTAGCTGGGTCTGGTGCAGGTGTAAATGCCCTAGGCTAAGGAGAGTGGTCTGGAGGTCAGGAGGAGAATGGAAAATTAAAAAGTAAGACCATTTAGACTGTGCGGGGTGGGGGGGTAGAGAGGATAGAAAAGAGACAGAGGAGAAAGAAAAATAGTAAAAGTAAGACAGTTTAGACTGGGGGGATATAGGGGAGAGAGGGAAAGAAAATCAACTATGTAGCTGAGTCCCACTCCCTGCCTGTGGAGCTGCATGAGTTTAGTCCCTGCCCTGGACAGGGAGCAGAGATGTAAACAAAAGCAACAATGTTGCTGAACCCCAATCCTTGCCAGTTGAGCTGCAAGGGTCCAGTCCCTGCCCTGAGGCTGACAGGGGCAAACTGGCTGTGTTGAGACCAAATCCCCCTACGGGCTCCAAATGGTCCCGGCTCCGGCAGAGACGGTGGCAAGGCCAAGGTCAAGCCCCAGCTGGCTTCCACTGAGGTAAGCCAAAAGTCCCAAGCCTCTCAAAACCCCGTGGGTCTGTTCCTACTTATCTTTATGATGCTCCTCCAGTTGTGTTAAAGTTCCCTCTAAGCAACTCTTCTGGGCAGGATTCTGTGGAGTCCCTCTGGTATGTGTCACTCTATCGCCATCTTCCCGGAAGTCCGATAACATACAAATTTATGCCATTTTCTTGATACTGTGTTCAATACATTTTATGTTTTCTTTTTTTAATCTTTTCTTTTTCTCAGACCTACTTAAAATTCTGAAAGGGCATGTCCCCTCTTCCTGCTCTAACCTCTGCTCCGTTTTCATTGCAACATCTGCTACCACCAGAATTACCTTTGTTTACTTACTCATTGTTTCCCAAGGCGGTAAAGTACTGGAACAGGGACTTGGGTATTGCTGTTTGTTCTAGCTCGTCACCTTAGTGTTCATGGGTCCTACAGTAGGAGGGGGTAGTGAAAGAATTCCATCATCTGGAAGAATTAAGTAAATCATTTTAATCTACTGATAGTGAAAACTAAATACTTTCAAAGAAGAGCATATCTGCATTTATTTTGCATTCTGGTTTCTTGATGAGTTTTTTTTTCTATTTTACTGTGAATTGACCAGATATACCGTAAGGTACAGATATAATTTAAAATGCAAGATCTTAAAATAACACTTTTTTTCCCTCCCTTATTATAACAGGTTGTTTTGGATGTTGGCTGTGGAACTGGAATTCTCTCTATGTTTGCTGCTAAATCTGGTGCAAAGAAGGTTCTTGGTGTTGATCAGTCTGAAATACTTTACCAGGCAATGGATATCATAAGGTAGGTGCATTATAAGGCTGGATTTAAGATTCTATTTAAAGTTGACCTTTGTTTATATAGAAGTTTTTCTTATCTTTAGACTCAATATACTTGTCTTTTAGTAAAAATTTATTCTAGAATAGCAAGATTTTAAGTTGAACTGAGACAGACATGTTTGAGCTATAAATGGTACACATTGGTGAGACTTATTTTTCTGGAGTAGTCTTTCTGTCCAATGACGGGTAAAAATATGCTAACTCTACATTTTGAAATGACTGTCCCATGGTGCACACTTGGCATGGAGAGGAGACCGGACGGTGTAGTGGCTGCTGCCCATGGGCTGCCAGTCCCAAGACCAGCAGTTTGGACCCATTGGCTGCTCATGGAGAGGGATGAGCCCTTCATGCTGTTCCTTAAGCTTAATTTTAGCCTCTAAATATATATCTTCTCCCTCAGTAGTTGTTAGGTTGACCCATCAATGATTAGTTATAAAATTAACTTATTTAGGAAATAGTAAGAAAGCCTTTATTTCAGATATATCTTATAGAGCCAGTTTTTAAAAAACAAAGCAAAAACCCATTGCCAATGAGTGGATTCTGACTTATAGAGACTGTACATAGGATTTCAGAGGATGTAAACTATTTTTTTTTTTTAAGAGGCTGTCAATCTTATAAAAATAGATAACCTCATCTTTGCCCTGAGGAGTAATTGGCAGAGTTGAACCTCTGGTGACTTTTTTTATTTTTTAATCATTTTATTGGGGGCTCATACAACTTTTTTTTGCCCCATGCTATTCATTGCAATTTTTTCTCTTTTTTAAATCATTTTATTGGGGACTCGTACAACTCTTATCACAATCCATACATCCATCCATTGTGTCAAGTACATTTGTACATTTGTTGCCATCATTATTCTCAAAACATTTTCTTTCTACTTGAGCCCTTGGTATCAGCTTCTCATTTTTTTCTCATTCTTCCCTCACGAACACTTGATAATTTATAAATTATTATTATTTTGTCATGTTTACACTGTCTGTTGTCTCCCTTAAACCCCGTCCCCCGGTGGGGGGGGTTATATGTAGATCATTGTGATAAGTTCCCAACTTTCTTCCCCCACCTTCCCCTAACCCTTCTGATATTGCTACTCTCATTATTGGTCCTGAGGGGTATATCTGTCCTGGATTCCTTATGTTTCCAGCTCTTCTCTGTGCCTGTGTGAACCTCTGACTTCAAAGTTAACAGCCTAATGCTCACCAGACAGCCCCACCAGGGCTTCCTATACTTGTTTTAGCATATGAGATTGCATATTTAAATTCTAATTTAACTATCATCATGAACAAATTACTACTTTAAAGTACAGTTTCTTCATCATAAAATGAGATGATGGTAATAGCCATCATATTGGGTTGTTAAAATAACCTATTGTCAATAAGTTAATTCTGACTCATAATGACCCTCTAGAACTGCGTAGAATCCCCTTGTGGCCTTTCCACGGCTATAATCTTAACCATTGTACTATGACTGAACCTTAGAATGTTGTTACAAGAATTAAATTTATTCCTGGTGTCGCACAAAACCAAAACAGGATCCATAGCCCTCAACTCATTCCACATCCCAGCAGCCCTCCGGGTCAGAATTCACCTGTTCTCTTGAGTTTCTGAGACTGCCAGTGTTGATGGAGCAGGCAACCTCATTTTTCACCTGGGGAGTAGCTGGTGGGTTTGAACCCAACGTTGTGGTTAGCAGCCCAATGGTTAACCAACCGCACCACCTAGTAAGTGTTGAAAATGGTATCTGTATTGTAATATTACTAATATTATTACTGGTGGTATTTGGGGCTTAGATTCTGTGCATGGTCAAGCGGTTAATCCCGCAGCTATTAGCCACAAGGTTCGCAGCTTAAACTCCCACAGATGCACCTCAGTTCTGGCAACCTGCTTCTGAACCTGCTTTGAAAACCCAGCGCTTAGGAAGCAGTTCTACTCTGTACATATTGAGTGGCTAGGAGGTGGAACCAGCTTGTTGACAACTAATAACTTTTTCAGCTTGTCATCAGTGCCTCAAAGGATACTATCCATTTGGATGGTTATGCTTCTTAAAATGATCATTGCATTGCCAGCATATGCTGACTTTCTTGTGTATGTTGAGCCAGTTTTACTCTGAACTCACACTCTTCTCTCAGCTCCACTCTCACTGTCTCCTCTACTCAAGTATTCTTGCATCCTGGGCCTTTTACAACTACCATCAGGCAGTGAGCAATGCTTCTGATGACCAGCACCCTATGGACTTTCTTCCCAGCCTGCATCTTTAGCCTTTTGTAGGCTTCTTAGCCAGACATTTGTTAAATCCATCACAATTTCTTCTGTAAAATTCCAGTCCACAACCTTCTGTCTTCAGATGTCACTTTAAATGGCTAAAAGATGGATACGTGTTCTTTTGTTCTTTTAAGTATATTGAATTTTCAATCTTAAAATTTGTGTTCAAAATACTATTTTTTCTTTGTTTTGAAATGAAATATAATATAATATATTTTTTAAGAAACTGAATGAGAATGACCGACTTTGGGTTGTTAAAATAAACTGACATGTGTATGAGCGGCTTCAACAAGTTTGTGGGGAAAACTGTCTTATTTTTTCATTCTACTTTTCCATGAACTTTTTGTCTCCCCTCATGTGTATATATAAATATGGTAAAGTTTAGGAGAGAAGTCGGGCCAGCTGGTCTGAGATTGCAGACATGAATAAAGTAGCATATTGATTTTTGAAGATGTTAAAATGTGGGGTCAGCTAGAACTGAAAGTGAAATATGGGGGGAGTAGAAAATTGTTTCATACTGCTGCTGTCGTACTTTGAACCGTATAGTGAATGATCATTTCATCAACAGAAACTTAGCCAAGGGAAGCAGAGCTATTCGTGTGCCAGATGATTGTATGCTGTGCCTAGCCCGCAGGACGCAGAGGTAGCTTTGGAAATCCTTACCATCGCCCTGGCTGCCTTTGGTTTCTCATGGACTCAGCCACGAAATAGCTCATTATTCAGCCTTGTGCAAAAGAGTTTTGTGAGTGGGTTGATCCATCATGTAGCTGCAGTGTAGTACTTTCAATCTCAGTAAGACATTAGAGATGCAATCTTTTATATTGCCTGTGTCTAGAATACTGTTAGAATGAAACCGCCAGAAAAGCCTGGAGGATATTTTGATCTGTTGTCATGTTAATGTAAGTGCCCTTCTCTGGGCTCTAGAGCAGGGCCTTTATCTTCTTCATCTTTTATCCCTAACGCACCCAGCAACGTGTCTGACGCTGGCAGAAGCTCAGGGAAGTTTTTGAGCAGAACTGACATCTCTTAAGACAGAGGTTCTCAACCTTCCTACTGCCACAACCCTTTCATCCAGCTCCTCATGTCGTGGTGACCCCCCACCACAACATTATGTTTGTTGCTACTTCATCACTAAGTTTGCTATGGTTATTTTCATGTATTTTCATTGTTACAAATTGTTTCATTATTACAAATTGAACATAGTTAAACAATTAAAGCATAGTGATTAATCACAAAACAATATGTAGTTATATATTGTGAAATATTTGTGTGTTCTGATGGTCTTAGGCAACCCCTGTGAAAGGGTCTTGTGCCCCCCACAGGTTGAGAACGCTGTCTTAAGATAATGATTTTTAAGGCTACCAATGTAAATATCCCTACAATTTGGACTAAGATCACAAAATGCACCAGCAGAAACTCTTGGAATAATGCATGTGCTCCCTATATTACTGCTGAATTTAACAGAACGAAACATCAAAGGCTGAAGAGAACTGTAGATCGATGGTGGACTTAAAAAGGCAAAAGTATACTTTGTCATCCCAAAGCCATAGGACTCACTGAAATGAGCAAAGGAGCTTTAAGACACGTCACAGCAAAGGAAATCCATTTCCTTTCACGCTCTACCCTCAGAACATCTTCATTTCCTGTCCAGTCAGGGAACCTCATGACCACCCACTAACTAGTCCAGTGATTCACTGGACGAACTAATAAGTCATTCGTTCAGTTGTGCTCATGATTAAGCTTTATGGAAACAAAGCTTACAACAGAAAAAAAAAATCTGTAGACAAAGGCTGTAGAGGTCAAATGCAGACTTTCAAGAGTCATCCAAGACTCCTGACTCTGTAAGAGTCTAACATAGGCACTTTTTCCCCCATCTGTGAACCTCAGAGTGATGTGTGAGCTTCCTTTCTCAGCAAAGTTGACTGGGGGAGGTGGGGGGTGCTGGTCACGTTCTCAGCTGGTGCAGACCCTAAACCAGCCACCCACTGCACATCATGAATCCTCACGCTTGTTTTCAGATGCTGTCAGCCTGGTTTATCTTGACCTGGCGCTTTTGAATTTAGAATGACATCAGTACTCAGCAACTAACTGTTGCAGGGATGTTGTTCTCCAGGGTCATGGCACAGGCCATAGGGATAGATAAGCAGGAATTGAGGAACACAGTCGAGCACCTCTCTGCACTTTCAGGTTCACATTCGAAACCCAGAGTTCAACCTTGACCTTTCCTCTTTTTTACCCAGCATATCCTATTGGAGACAGTGCTGATACTTGAATATCCTGGATGTTTCTTAAATCTATCTACTGTTGCTGGGTGTCACGGTCAACTCATAGTGACTGTGCACAACAGACCAAAACACTTCCCGTCCTGCTCCATCCTCGCAACTGTTCTTATGTTTGAGCCCCATTGTTGGAGCTGCTGTGTCTGCCCATATTGTTGATGGCCTTCCTCTTTTTTGCTGACCCTCCACTTTACCAAGCATGATGTCCTTCTCCAGGGACTGGTCTCTCTTGACAATATGTCCGAAGTATGTGAAACAAAGTCTCGCTGCCATCCTTGCCTCCAAGCAGCATACTTGCTGAACAAGGTAGATTTGCTTGTTCTTTTGGCAGTCCATGGAACTTTGAGTGTTCTTTGCCAGCCCTGTAATTTAAATGCATCAGCTCTTCTGCATTCTCTCTCCTACCAGTGCCTTCCATCTCTTACCTG